GGGGGGGGGGGGGGGGGGGGGGGGAGATGACTGTGTCGTGTATGGTGTTGACAACGGAAAACCGAGTGTTCTTGCGAATTATTTTTGGAACATAGAGGGAGAGGATTACGTAGGCGGATTTCGAGCGCTTCCACTGTGGCCGGAATGCAACTCCCAATCACGGTGGCTGTGAACTAACTACAAGGTCGAAACCCCTCGACCAGGCGTGAGACAGTCGACATGCTAACTGACCCAATAATTCAAATTTTCAGCCAGACCGAGTGGTGCTCGTGCACTCGTTCAGATAAACGTCTGCTCGTGGGGCTCGTATTACTTGTCGCACAGGAACAAGTATACACAGAAGATTTTTTTATTGCACACCTTAGTTTGATGAGCAGCGGACAGGGTGAACCCCATAATCACGGGGACCTGCTGTTCAGTGATGGAAATCAATGACCCAAATCCCGGGACTTGAAGTGGCGAACCATATAAGGCCCCACTGGGTCAGGCGTGATATTGAACCGGACAACAGTAGAGCTGCCTACCATCAAATTGGGTGGCGGTGGCGGGTCTCGAACCTCAGACTACAGGGTTTAAAGCACACCGATGACAGCAAATAAACCACTGCACAACCACTACCGCATACCATACTGCAGAAACAGGCAATTTGTCTTTGAGTTAGAAGTGCCACAGTGGTCTGGAGATGAATGCAATGCGAGGCTTTGCTATATTTTCCCCCATAACTGTACTCAATTGACGTGTCACAATTTCGGCCGTTTTGTCACCCCTAAACGATAGTGATCGTATTTGGTAACCGTCGCCGACCCAAAATGTTGTCCACGAAACGTTCTGTTGACATAAAATCACATCTTGATATCGGATTCCCACTCCCCTCCCCAATTACTGATCGATACTGTTGGAGTGATGCCGAGAGCGGTGATAGTGTTCTACTAGACAGCCGTCTGAATCACGATGCAATTCTTGTCTTACCCTAGTTCTCTTCTATGGAATACCTAAGTCTTTCATAACAATTTGTGTCTGAGAAATGATTTCAACGTTTTCACCTGCTTAATGTGATGATATATTTCCACCATGAACGCGGAATGAGTTGGCACTCAACCAAGCTTGACTGGTCTTCTGAACCTGTAAGGCATCTTCTACAAAGCACCCATAAGACATCTCGTAAATGATGTCTAACGGTCTCATGGTCGACGAGGATGGCAAACCCTTTGCAGAATAGTTCAATGATTGATTGTACTAATTGTATGCGGAATGAACAGAAAGGTGACAACCGTATCCGTTTCATGCAGAACTGGTCCATGTTTACGGTTGCATGATGCATGCCCAGTTGAAGCCTGTTCATACGAACACCCAATATTCCTCGTATCTCATAATAGAGTGAATAAAACTGTACCCCAATAGTGTGACTTGACACGGTACCATATGTGCCCGTATCAACCCGTTAGGATAATCGTCGTTTTCACGCACCCACAATAACCGTGCTTTCTAGCACATGAACATGGACATCGATTGTCGAAAATCGGTCATTTTCACTTCCGGTATCCATAGTGAACTATCGGAGGTGTTGCATTCATCAGACGAGAATCATCCGAATGATATATTTTCCAATCCGGTTGGCAGATTGTCTTGTTCAAGACTCTCTACTCAGTCCACCGAATTGATTGATTGAATTGCACAATCCGGGAAACCGACAATGTGCCATTAAATGCACGCAAGACATGCCGACCACCTGGGGGCCGTTTCGGTACATTTGTAGGAATTTGCATCAGGCACTGCCTTATATGATGCTGTTGTGGGTGAATTCACTGATATTTTCCGTCTGACATGTGGAACATAAGTTTGGGGAAAGGTGAAACATCGGTAGAGGTGTAACGAAGTTGTTGAACAAGCAACTTTCATTGAGGAAAGCTTTGCGATGTATTTTCCTGCATCATTAATCTCGTATTTCCACTCAGCACGCTTTTCCAATCACCACATTTTCCTTCATGACCTATCACATATTTCTGCCAGCTTCCGAATTATTCTCACCAGGAATCGTCATCTGGTTGAAATGTGTTTGGCTAGCTGGAAAGTATTCCGTAGTGTGTTCCAGGCAACATTGCTTCGTAATTTCGATGATGCCGGGTCTGTGTTACGCAACAAGCTCGCAAAGATAGGTTGTGCTATATCGTGTAAATGGATAATGAAAAACGGTCTGATTAGCTGCTTGGTGGTGTAGTGGGTAGCATGCTTGCGTTCTGCCCATGAGATCCCAGGTTCGATCCCCAGTTGGGTCGATGGATTCGCACTGCTGATGAGACTCGACCAGGTCAAAACAGCTATCCAGTGCTTCCTGGCTTTTCAGATCACTCTTCATTTGCCATATACACGATGAATTCCCATTTGAAAGTATCATGAACTCACAAGGTCCATTGAAATTCAAGCACTCACGATAAAATATTACTGGCGCGGTTTCCAAGCGTCACAGGGAGACACAGCGAACGGAGTAGTCGCGTTTGGTTCATTTAGCCAGTGCTTCGATGATTTCACCTGTCTGATTTTTATGTCTTACTTCTTTGAAGATAATCAGTTCATGAGAGATTGAGGATCGATTATAGCCATTTTCTATTTTTTATTCCTCGAAATAAGGTGCAATTTAAAGAAAGTTACCGTCACGGTTGCTACTTAGCATTACAGTTTTCAGTGACGAGTTTTATGCCAACACTCTATTGACGACTAGAGACCTAAAACGGTGTACTGGAGAGCTTCTATCAAACATCCATTCGCATTTATTGATTGCCAGGTTAGAGAGGAAATTGTCCAAATCTCTCATCCAACTTCTCGGTTTATTCACCTCTAATGTGGTCATTTCAGTCATGTATGCAATCAAACACTTCATCCTGTGATCTTATCAGTGAAGCCGAGAGGCATTTCGTTCCACTCTTTGTACACCGGGTGGTAAGGGTTGCCGACGTTGCCATCGGGTTATTTAAATTTGTGATGCCGAAATTCAATAACGCTCCTATTCCATAGGTTTTTCAACTAATTTGTCACACCAACCCGGTGTTTGGAACGAGACGAAAGGTTCTAATGATTATCAATTTATACTCCAATATGCATTGCATTGCTGTGTGGAGCAGAAACTGAATGACAGCCGTTTCGCAATTTCGGTCCGTAGAATAGAAAATCCGCTACATTTTTTACAATAATGACAATAAACATTTTCCCAAAGCACATTACCAGTTTCGTGAATCTTGCCGCGATGCTTTCATTTTATCGCGGGGAGTCAAAAAATCTTGGAAAAATCGATATCGTGATTCCTGGATAACGAGTTTGGTAGTGCTTAATGCGTCGGTAATGTAATTTACGATTTTATCGAGAATTCGACGGTTGCCGAGACGCATTAGTAGACCATTCGTTTAGCGCCCTTCAACCACAAGCTGTTTTGCTTTCTAAACACAGGGAGGGAAAATCAAATTCCAGTTTGAAATAGCCCCTGAGCCTCACAGATCGCATCATACCAGTCTGATGCCAACACGTGATCCTCTAGTTTGTGTTAGCCCAATTTCAGAGGAAAAAGTGTCGAAATTTCGGCAGTCTTTTTTAATTGATACGAACGGAAGACCTAGTCAGGCCTGAGTCAAGGTTGTCCAATATTTGTGTCAAGCAGTAGCTCAATTGTGGAGACAAATTTCATTGCCTGGGGTCAACTGACAAAACCGAATGGAGCCAAACGGCAATGGTTTCAAACCGTGATGGNCGATTGATTGATGATGCGTGTCGAGTGCGCGCGTGCAGCCTGATTAAGTTAAGATGCAGCGTCTGCGTGTGTGTCCAAATGAGACAAAACCTGGGAAAAAAATTGTAATTAGGAAAAATCGTGCACATTATGAATAGGCCATGCACGTGATGCAGTTAAACAACTGTAAAAATAATGACCCTACGAGGAGATTGATTTCGAAACTGAACTTTTCCGGGAGGTGATTATCACCTCAAACCGCACCGGGTACACAGTGCTCATGGAATATCAAGCGGGAAAATTAAAAAAAATGAATGAAATGGACGCTAATTAGAAAAAAAACAACGCACTTCTTCCAATCTGCAACGTTTCACCGTGGAATTGTTCCATTTTTGTCTTCTATCGACTGAGCCCGTCTCTCGAAATCAATAACACTTTAGAACTCCGGTTTGCAGTCCTACGAAAACTGTCAATATGATAAAGACAAACGTAATTTGTCTGCTCTTGCTTTTGAACTTTTGTTAAACGCTATTGGTCAGCATTTTGGTTTACTAGAGTTCAATTTATTACCTGTAAATGGAATGGTAACCATAGAAATCTCAGATCAATTCGATCCAAATATTAGCTCAGAATGGTTGGCCCAGTTACATCATCTGATTTTTCGCAAAGGTACTTTTCGTATTGAGGATATGAATACATCGGTACATCTTCAATATTATATATATATATATATTCACACCCACCTGAGTTCAGGCTGTGCAAAACAAATCACGGGACAATAATCTTGATAAAAATAAAATGGTCCATGATTTGCTTGAAGGTACGATACTGCCAGGTTTTCCAGAAGAAAGTAGGTGAATTTTCTTAGGCAGTTCACGATCGGAGTTTTCGGTTAACCAAAGTCCGTCACACAAAGCAGCGGTGTGTGTGTGTGTGTGTGTGTGTGAAGACCGCAATCCATTTGAGTGTCAAGTCAAGTCAAGTCAATTAAAGCTTTATGCACCCGATAGGATGAATTTTCAGCGGTGTCAATTTGATCGGATCATGCACCTTTTGGACGGGGTCAAATACTGCAGGTGCCCAGTACACCTCGTTGCCCAATGGAGCAGGTGACCACTGCAACTACTAGGTGTGCGTGTGTTTGTGGTTTGTACGCCTCTTCATGGTTGGTTTGAGATCGGCTTTTAACGAAATCCACTTGGTAAAATACCAGTGGTTCACGCACTCGGATAGTCGCTTTCCATCGTCTCACTTTGGTAGGCGAACCTCTCCAGTGAGTAGGGCTTCCTCAGCTGAGGCTAATTCATATAGATTTGAAAACAATCTATTCATTTGAATTGCTAATTAGAACTCGATTCTGTCAAAGAGATAGGGAAGTAGATCAGGTAGGTAGATCCCAAAATTGCAGAAAAAACAATGACAAAATTATATTGATGGTAATAAAGCAACAATTACGCATATTGGATCAGAATAGTAGTCAGGAATGGGAGGCGGAGATGTCAGTCAACACTGTGATAAGGTAAAACAACGCCGAGTAAAAACGTGCTGAAAAAAACCTTTCGATTAATAAAATGATGAATCATTTTATTCACCGAAAAGGTTTCAGAAAGGTCCAATGGAAAAACGTTTGTATAACCATCGAAGTCGCGGTTCATAGTACAAAGTGGGGAACAGTAGTGTTGTGTGACTGTTTCAGGTTCGGAAAATCGATAAATCGGTAACTATAAATTTATAGGGTTCGAACTTTGGAGCATAATAGCAAATGCACATCTATGCTAGCTTCTTAAACTGCTGGGTGATGACGACCACTTGAGTGCTGGTGGCCCAGTGTTTAAGTCGCTGTCACCGATGTTCTTTGGACCCTAAGATTCCAGGTTCGAGCCCCACCACTGCCACCCAACTTTGGTGGTAGGCAGCGTTGCTATCGTCCGGTTCAATACTACAACTATCCCGCTGTTTATCATACAAAGATATGAGTAATAAAAAACAATATTCAAAAATGATGATGATCATCACCACCATCGCCAAATAAAGTGCGTGACACCATTCTTGCTCAACATATTCCGTGTTCCACTCGAAGTATCTGGGAAAATGCATCAACCTTTCCGCATTCATGTTTCTTCTCATTTTAGCGCATGCCTGCTTATCGCCAAACAGCTCAGATGAACCAATCGGATGGAGGCAAAACCAGTTTGACAATCAAACCGGATTCCGGTAGGTCAAATCTGTCGCTTTTCTGGTGTGTTTAACCTCATTCATCAAACTAGCTGACAAATATTCCCCCAAGCGAGGTCTCATTTATACTGGGGTTAAAATCCTGTCCACTTTTGTCCGTATATTGTTAAATTTCAGGATCACGTCGTAGCAGATGAGTTCATCGTGTTTTAACTTCNCTATAGTTGCTTAGTCTCTTTTTCAAATTGTAAGTGATTGGAGCCTCATCCTGATTTGTTCGGCCTGTTACTTGCACTTTGGAAGTGCCCAATGCTTATATTGATTTGAACTGATCCTACCATGAGTCTCACACTCGTCGGGATGGCGACAGAATAAGTGATAGCTAGTGCTACAATCTAAGTTGGTACATTTTGTTTTGTTGTACCGGTCTTGAATGGGGGATTCACACACGTAAAGCAGACTATTTTTTTGGCCTTCGCCAGCCTAAAACTTCCATCTCACGGCGACATCCTTGCAGAGTTGAGAGTTTGTTCGAGTGACCGGGGGAGTCTTGTGGTTGGGTGCATAAATTTGGGTGTTGCTGACGAGCTCATCTAGTCGGTAGTCCATTTTACACCGAATTGATCGTTTACGATTCGGTAAGCGCCCGAAGAGCGTTGAGGTGTTGGGTGTGCATCGCCGGTGGGACAGGATGCGTTGAGCATACTACCGGGGAGGGGTGCTGTATTTGTATGGCTCACCGCATGCAACGATCTCTTAATCACATCAAACAATACACTATTTTCTCCTAAATATCATCAAATCATCTCCAGCACTCCATCTTGTTTCTTGCATCAGATCTGTCTGTGACGGAGGATCAAATAGTGGCGATTTTACCCGCATCCAAACTGAAGGAGACCTCAGTGACGGAGGACCCCAGATTGGAAGAGGTTTCCGGGAGACATCTGGTCGGCGAGGCAGATCAGGCGGAAAAACCGGCTCTCGTGCAATCCGATGTGCTATTGATCGATACCAACAATCTGGATTCCACATATCACATCTCCATGAATTTGACCAAAGTAAGTGCACTGTATTATCCGACGTTCCGAAACTTGCATGGATAGTGTATTCAGGCTAACCTTGTGTGTGTGTGTGTTTGTGATGGCATCTGTTCACAGCGAGTTGTGTTCAATCAGTAGGTGTCCAAGTGTGATGCTCTGATCTCGGAACTGACGAACATCGAGCCTCTAAGCCTAGGTGAAACTGTAAACATCAATTGATAAAAGCAGTTTTGATGTGAATCGGAAAAATTTTACGTCGTGCCCAGATCGATACAGACTGATTTCTGCTAATTCAGTCGTGCCAAGGTAAAGATAGTGGTTCATACTCCTGAATGGATTGCACCATTCAACAATAGGATTTAGTTTGGTTATGCATGAAACAAAAAGTGTAAAAATTTGTTGTCTACGTGGGAATTTTATCACACACCTCTCAGTTCACCTGAGTTGTATCGGAAAAACAGAGAGTCGATGCCTTAATAGCTGGCAAAACTCATGTTGCCCGCTGTTCAGCAAGTCGAGACTGGCAGATTCAGGATAATCGGCGGTGGTCACAGCAACTGGAAATTCGTGTTTTCGATTTCTGTCACCGCCCTCCCCCCCACCTAGCTACCACTAATCTCCTCCACCTCTTGATTTCCGCAAATAACCGTTTGTCTGCCGGAGTCTTCTTTCGCGTCAATTAATTGTTTAATTATATATTACCGAAAATAGGAAGGGAACTGCTGTTGTGTTGTTAGCCTGATTTATGAAATTGCTCATGTATGTCGTCAAGTCAGTAGCTTTGCACACAGCCTCTGTCTTGTCAGGCTCGATGTAACGTCAACTTCTAGGAAGCGCAAGAGGAAGTTCCTCATAATACCTATCCGCTCTTTAATTAGCAGGGCAAGTGACTTTTAGTGGAATAACATGATGTATCAAATTGGCGCTTTGTGTTCCGCAGCGTGTTCCTCGCTCTCACTGTGTCAAAAGGATGTATGCGTTTTGTTTCCTCGGTAACTCATATCATTAACGTTTTTGACACCTTACAGGATGCAAGTGTTTTCCGAATTACTAGTCTGTTCTTTTAGAATTTTTAATCCACTTCCCCAGGTTTTTTTCATCAGATTGTCATAATCGTGAAAATTGATATTACCCACACATCTGTCTTTTTTTTACCATACTCATTAATCTACCCGTGGGCATCAAGCAGCTGCGGTCGAATTTCACACTTAACTGCCAGCTGTTCTTGGAGTGTTTGCCTGGGTGGGTGGCAAAATAGCCGTGGTTTCTGGAACTGGGTTTACAATCTGGATTAGCTATTCCAGATGTGTGAATTTACGGCTTATTGGACTCATGGCTGTCTGTGTGTGTGTGTGTTTGCGGACAGCACATCTGGGGACATTCTCCGGGGAGCGTATGTCGAGATTGTGCACACCTCTTTAAAAATTGCGCTCAAATTTTACCTTTCGTGTGTTTTGTTCAATGTCATTCGTATGCTTGTGAACAACATTCAAAATGTAAACTGGACGTTTTATTTCTGTAACTTTGAGAGAATAGTTTGTTCAATGGATTTTCACATGCCCCGCTGTCAAATTAGACCTTTGAACTCATCAGGGAGATTTAATCTGATCGGCGGGTATTTTTCTAGCAATCAGTCATTGGTTTGATTAATCCATTTATTCAAAATTCGTAACAAATATTCTGTGCTCCTCACCACATTCAGATTAGTCTGATTGATTGATTTTATTAATTACTTTTTCTGCCACCACGTAATGCAGACGCAATGATGCAGTAACTCAAAGCTTTATACACGGGAGAAATCTCATGTTTGCGTTTGAGTCTTATGCACAGTTCACATTGGTAATTTTACTGTTAGCCAGAGTTCGATCATTCCACCACTACTCAACTAAAATGAAGTTAAATACTGTACAAAAGAGCACGAATGCGTGATAATATTATCGTCTCAAATAAGACGAAACGAAAACACAAACGAGTATCCTAGAAAGGAGAACAATGACGAACCGGATAATGAACTATACCGCTGATCATTAGTGTACCATTTATTTCAACGCTGGGCGGCTTGCTCGTATGTGAGAATAAGTTACCCTCGTAAACCCACGAGGAAGCTCGGGCATGCAGTATTCAATTGTTATCTCTAGTACCACTCCATCTCCTATCGAGGTACTCTATACCTTGCCGGACCGAATCGCATGTGTGGTGTGAATGAGCCCAGCTTTTCGTTTTATTAGTATTGGAGCAAATTGGCGCACATCAAATGACTTTCGGTTTCAAAGAGATTTCTTGTGATTGGGGGTGGGGGTGGGACACTATTTCTTTTAGTTTTCCACGCTCGTTTATTCAGTGAAACTATCTATGCACACTCATTCACGGCGGACAACTCAGAAGTCAGATACGTAGCTGAGCACACTCGGGGACTCAGGAATCGGGAACAAAAACCGCAGTGTTTCTTTAAATAATGCCAAAGAATGAAACATGCAGTATAAGACTGATTTTACTCCGGTCAGGGATTGTCATAATCGGTTAACCGTCACGTACTTTCTTCGTTACATATGAGTGGGACCCAGAAACCGAAGACAACCTAGTTGGTCAACTTAATGCAGGGTCCACGCAGAACTAGACAATCGATCAGGGTGACATACATCGCCCGGTGCTAAGTATGGGACAAACATTGTGGTTACTTGTTAAATACCACTCATTCTTAAGAACACATGCAAGAGTCGATAATCCAAGATCACACTGTTGTAATCACGGCATCACCACAGGTCCTGAGGTCATCATCACGTTAAGTTTTATCGAAATCGATAAACGCCCAATGATGGCCGTCTTGGATGATGATAACGTTTTCGGCGGCGGTGGTGGTGGTGATGGTGCTCATGCGGTTTAACCCGGCACCACCTGCTTTGCTCAATAACACGCCTATCCTGATGTGATTCCCCATTCTAAATCACGGGACTGAGGTCGCCGATTATCCTGAGTGAATAGTATGTTCTCGTGAACACATCGTACAAACTGACCATACCATGATTCGTATTTAACTCACAGTATTGGTGTGGGATAATTGAAGTTGATTTGAACTGACTATCCTTCGGATTTCAGCTTCACTCACATTCCTCACCACCTCTTCCAGTCAATCATACACTCGGAAGTACTAGAATGAAATTTCGCTTGAATAAGAGCACATCAGTAGTGCATATCCACCGTCCCGTACGGCATTTGAACTCCGGACTTATCGCATAGAACGAGTGTATGTTGCGATGGTGCCTACCAGCTCATACCAGGACTGAACACAATTGTCAATTCATGCTTGTTCAGATATTGGTTTCAATGATACTCATTTCATTTGGGCCCAACAGCAATTTAGGGCGAAACAGTTGACTGCTATCTAGGGTGGTGGTGGCGCAGTTGTTTAATCGCTGTCACCGGCTTGCTGTGGACCCCATGGTTCGAGCCTCGCTAGCGCCACTCAACTTCGGTGGTAGGCAGCTTTGTGGTCGTTCGGTTGAACATCACACCGAACCTATCGGAGCCTTATGCGGTTCGCTGCTCCAAGTCCCCGGCGCTTAGCTTACCGATTTCCATCATCTAACAGCAGGTACTCGTAACTATAGAGCTTCCCCGTTTGCTGTTCATAAACAAAGTAATAACATTCAAATCCAAATTCAAATTCAAATTTTTATTATGGGATATAACTTACAAAGACTTCGCTTTTTCAAATCCCATAGGGTGTTTACACTTTGGTTCGGAACACGATTCACAATGTCACACACAGTACATTCATGAAATTACAGTAGTAAGGTAATGTTTTTGACGTGCACAGAAGAATATATTAT